AGGTGCCCTGAGAGGGGCCCACCTGTTATAGAGCTTTCCCGTAAGCCCAGCCAGCAACTTTTGCTTCTATCTCATTGGTCTGTGCCACATGGCCATTCCTCGCTGCAGGGGAGTCTGGGAAATGCAATCTTTCCTAGCTGGGCACGTTACCATACTGGACAACATGAGAATTTTGTAGAAAGGAAAAAGGGGAGGAATGGCTTTGAGAGGTCGATTTGCAGTTCTTGCCGCTCCTCCTAATCTCCATTTCTATGTATAGTGACAAGCTCAGCAGTCTCTCACCAGTAATCTTCCTGAAGGAGCCGGACGAAGCTCCCAGGCAGCAGTGGAATTCATCTGTGAAAACTGCCCAAGTAAATTCCTCTGAAAGGGAGCTTCTTATCTCTGCCTGCTTGTAGAGTCATTAAGCCAAGATCAAGTTTTTAGTCTTTTTTCCTAGAAATAGATTAGCTGAATGATATATGGAACAGTTGAGAAACAAGATTTTTTTTAATGTTTTATTTATTTCTGAGAGAGAGAGAGAGAGACAGCATGAGCAGGGGAGGGTCAGAGAGAGAGGGCGATACAGAATCTGAAACAGCCTCCGGGCTCTGAGCTAGCTGTCAGCACAGAGTCCGACACAGGTCTCGAACCCATGAACCACAAGATCATGACCTGAGCCACAGTTGGACGCTTAGCCGACTGAGCCACCCAGGCGCCCCGAGAAACAAGATTTTTAGGAGGGATGTCTCTGTTCTTATCCTCATTTCCTGTTTCCCTGAGACCCATATGAGGCCAGTGCAGTACCTGGCCATCCACATGGCAACAATTCCATTAAATATCTGCTCTACCCACTTGCTCCAAAGCCTAAAATATCACCATTTAGGCACTCACTCCTTTGGATCAGGCATTACTCTCTTAGGTGCCTCCACCTTAGTGTTGGTCTTAATTCACTAGCCCTTTTCCTCCCTTGGAATTCCTGCCCAGTGGGAATTTGAGGCACTGAAACCTGTGAGGGGGAAAGAGGCTGGGGGTGGGGCACAGACGAAGAGCATGTCTGTCCTGAAAACAAGTGGGACATGCAGCTGGCTCACCTCCTTTACTGTAAAGCTGCAGCCACTCTGGGACCTTGGTTGGAGGTATTAATAAACACTGCTGGTAAGTTTGGGTCCAGCAGATGGCAACCCCATGACCTTTGAGTTGACTTTGCCTCCCTTTCTCTCCCCACCCACACTTCTGAACTCGAAGACTAAAAATCTGGCTTTACTGTAATTTGTGTTGACTCTAACTCAGGGAGTAACACTGCTAGTAAGAGACAAACACAGAGGGTGGCAGGTGGGGAAATAAATGTTCCCCGGGAACGCGCATGTCAAAGTCACAGACAATGATGCTGCTGTCATGTGCCCATTTCTTGCTGCACGGAGCCTTCCCTTAGCCTGGACTTTCCAGGGAGACCTCATTGGTCAAGAGCAGAGTTACAGCTGGCAAACCTCTCCAGTGCCATCTGAGAAACCCCCCACAGACCCGGGCAGAAGAGGTCCCTAATTCTGGACTATCAGGAACTGACACTGGGCCTCCAGCTAGTCTCTTTCTCATGGGGCAAAGAGTTCTTAGACCCATGGGGTCATGCCTACCTAAGGCCCTCTGTCTCCTTTTAAACTATGCCCAGGACACCAGAATCCCCTACCTGAGTGGCCCTAAGCTGGCTTCCAGGAGCTGTGGCCCTCTCTCCAGATACTTCTTCAGGGCAGACCACACCACTGGTAAATGCCCTCTTGGACCCTAGGGATGGCCAAGGGATGGCTATCTCCCAAGGGAGAGGGGTGTGGGTGGAACCGAGTCTCGCAGGTTGGTAGGTGCGCCAACATGAGCGTGAGGCTGCTAAGGGGGTGCGGGGGGAGGGACAGGAAGAGGAGAGGCTGCAGTCTTGGGGCTGTTTGTTCCTTTGCTACCTTATGCTAATACAACATCCTGAAGCATCCCAAGAATTCTAAATTCAAACCTTGCCTTTCCGGTTGTGATACAGATATATTTGTAGGAGAAGAGAACATATTTTGCTTGCCATAGTTAATATATTTTGTAAGCTAGATTTATAAGGTGTAAACACTTAGACATACGCTATGTGGCCTCTGTTTGTATTTTTGCCCTGGGCCCTGCAAATACTAGGAGCCAGCCCACTCCACAAACATATTTTGTTTGGTCTGCAGAGCGTTTTGAAAATTGAGAGGTTTCGGGGCACCTGGGTGGCTCAGTTGGTTAAGCATCCCACTTCGGCTCAGGTCATGATCTCACGGTTCTCGAGTTCGAGCCCCGCATCAGGGTCTCTGATGTCAAGCGCAGAGCCTGCTTTGGCTCCTCTGTCCCCCTCTCTCTTTGCTCTCCCGCTGCTTGTGCTCTCTCTCTCTCTCAAAAATAAATAAGCATTAAAAGAAGAAGAAGAAGAAAATTGGGAGATTTCATGGATAAATTCTGATTTGGGCTTTTCTTGACACATTGCAAGATATAGCAACACTGAACTCGCCTGAACTTGCACGTGTCAGCAGGCTGCCCACTTTAGATGGACAAGCACTCCCTGCCACACTCCCCGCCACTCCCAACTGCCCTATGGGTGCTGAGCCCATGCATCTGCATTGCCTGCCTGAGCCATGGCGGTATTTGAGCATGTGTCTGTGGCCCACTAGCTGGAGGCAGCAACCCCTATCATGCATAGGAGGCTGGAGCAGAGCTGGCGGGTGGGATCCATGGTGGGAGCTCTGCGAGTCGGAATTTATTCACAGCTGCTCCTCCGGGTTTCCTATGCGGAGATGGAGTCAGCACTAGCACTCACCCTAGGCTCTCAGCCTGATGCTTTCTTGACCAGACTGATTAGAAAGGAGAAGCGGAACTGCCTGGGGTCATTAGAAAGTGCAGAATGAAAGAGGAAGAGCCATCTTCGTCCAGAGATGGGAACTGTGCACGTGAGCTCTGCATTTTCTGGTTCGGGCCCTGAATGTCAGTCAGTAGATGTTCAGCACAGGTCATGTGCTTTCTGTGGGGGTTTCTGGGGGAAAATCACAGTGCTAGAGAGGGGGCAGGGTGGGGAGGAAAGTCTCTGATTGGAAGGAAGCCTGCCCCAACCTCCCATGAGAGGCCAGGCCTTGGTGGAGCTGGCCGTAAAGCAGGCAGGGCCTATAGTTCTGCTTCCTAAGAATGTGAAAGAAAAATGAATCCTATACGATGCATGTAATGTCTGGAGTAACCGCTGGCTTCTTCGCTCTGCCCAGGCCGAGAGGAAACTGATGAGACGAATCCTCGTTGCCCCAGCCCCTCATCACATAACCTCTAGCCCACACTGAGTCCATGTAGGAAGAGGAAGCCCCATTTACCAAGTTTTGTTAGGAGACCAAAGATTAAAATGTTAGATTCTGCTAAGAGCTGGGGAAGGTCTTCTGAGCTGCCGCCAGGCAGGCTGTGAGTGCAGTTCCCATACTCTGGGCATCCGCGGGCATTGGCTTCAGGGTGGAGGGGCCCGATAGTGGCAATGTAGCTTCAGAGGCCCTTGGGTTAGATTCCTCCCACAGAGAGGCCCCGAGAAGGTCAGGTGACCATGTGCTGGGATGCTGCTTTCCCAGCCCTCTGCAGAGCTCGGCAGTCACCGTAGCCCCACACCAGCATGACCCCAGCGGGAAGGAGAGACGGGCGGGGGAGGCCCAGCGCTGAGAACTTGCATCAAACCGGCCAGAGCTGTGGGCCAGCAGGCTGAGGAGGAGCTGCTCCTCTGTTTCCCTGGGGTCACCACATCCCAAGATGAGTGCCAACAGGGAGACCATGGGCAGTGGTAATCCCTCTGAAGGCCCAAGAGGTGAATTTGAGATGGCTGTGGAAGGGGCTGAACCAGACACCCCCCACGGCAATCCCTGTCACCACTGCCTCCAACTGACTCAACAGAGGCTGCATGTGTGGGGAGTCCCCACGGTGGGGTGGGGCTGCAGCGTGCAGGCCAGAGGGCACTCCACCTAGGGACCTATGAGAGCAGGGGAACCAGAATATGCTGGTTTCAGGCTCTCCCAAAACCAGTAGGTTTGAAGACCTGAGGACAACTCTATGTCAATGAGGCACTACTGCCCCTCAAACTGTGCTCAAAATGGCAGCCTGTGGAGCCCAATGGAGACAGGCAAAGCTATGTGTGCTTTATCGCAGCTTCTCAAGGGAGATAGAGTCTTTAACAGAATGTGTAGGTCCATTTGCAGGAAGTTCCCCATGGACCTAAGCCACGTGCTGCCCCTTGAGAGCATGAGGCAGCACTTTCCCTGTTGTCCTTGAGTTACTAGAACACCTTGCATGGGGCCTGGCATGCAGCGCCACCCAAGGCTGGCTGGCTGCGAGGAGCAGAGGAAGTGTAGTCGTAGAGGTGATAGTATCAGCCTGAATGACCATTCCTCTGAATGGCACCTTGCACGGTCTTTCTCCATTGTCTGGAGAATGGCCCGCTGACAATCCAGGAAGGTGAGGCAGTGAGGAATGGAAGGTGGGAAGGTCATGGTGAGGTGACTGGGGGAGGGAAACCAAGAAGACACCTACAGGGAGGATTGAAGATGCTTTGAAAAAACCCAGCTCGGGGCTCCTGGGTGGCTCGGTGGGTTGAGTGCCCGACTCCTGCTCAGGTCATGATCTCACGGTTCATCGGTTCGAGCCCCATGTCGGGCTCTATGCTGACAGCTCGGAGTCTGGAGCCTGCTTCGAGTTCTGTGTCTCCCTCTCTCTGCTCCTCCCCCACTCACACTCTGTCTCTAATATAAACATTAAAAAAATAAAACATCAAAAACACCCAGCTTCCCAAGTAGGGTGTTTTCTTCCAAACCATGGACAAGAAGAAGGATTAGCAGGGTCGCCAGAACTTTAAGGACTCTTGAGACCAAAAACAAAAGAAGGCCCCCACCACACAGAACCCAGACTTTCAAGGGACTGTGTAAAAGAAAGAGAATTGCTTGCTAAACTGGTTTCTTTTAAGAAATTTATTTAGAAAAATAACCATACCCTGCTCTGCCCTCCTCCCTCTGTGCCATGGGACTTGGGCATCATGTCGGATTTAACTCTGGATTGGGCCTCCTGTACACATGGGGGCCCAGCACATGCTGACAGGCGGCCATGCTTCGGGTGACCTCACACCCTCTCAGCCGGTACAGTCTTGTGCTCAATCCTTGTCCAGGCCTCTGCCTCCAGGTCTCTGAAGGAGAGAATGCCCTGAGGGGCAAGGGCAGCCTGGCCACAGTCTGTGTACCCCTCCTGAGGCCTGCCAGGCCAGCTGGGGGCGGGGGGCTCCATCTGCCCCCCACCACCTCTCGAAACTCAGGGCTGGAAGCGAGGCGAGCTGACATGAGGCTGGTGGAAGGCATGGGTGCTGTACACCACGTCGGGGGGCGAAGGCGTGCTGGCCGCCAGCACTGAGCACAGGGGCTCGTGGCTGCTCAGCACCGACGTGAAATACTTCATCTCTTCTGTGAGCTGCTTAATCTCCTTGCGCAGAGCCGCGTTCTGTTTCTCCAGGTCTTCACTCTCCTGTGAGGAGAAAGGTCAGCATCTGAGATTAGTGTCAAGGAAAGCACAGGATCGGAGGAGGGGGTACGGGAGGAGTCCAGATAAGGTTCTCACCAGCAAAGCCATGGGGATGGGCATCGGTGAATTTTTCTGCACACGTGTGTGCGTGTGTGCACATGTGCACATGTATTTGCATGTGGTCATATGTGAGTGTGGGTGCATCTCTGTACGCAAGTGTGTGCATAGATACTAGGTCGATCCTATGAAATTGCTGGTATTTGTCTGTTTTGACCTATAAAGATGGAGGTTCCATATGGTCCCACCTAACAGAGGTACACACAGAAATGGGTGTGAGTATGCTCCTTTGTGCGTGTGCGTGTGCGTGTGTACATGGGTCTCTGTGAGTATGTATGTAGGTTGAGAGTGGCAAGTGTATGTGAAGGGAAACTAGTTAGCAGGTTAGAGCCTGAAGAAATGGAAGAGAGTAGGGGCGCCTGGGTGGCTTAGTCGGTTAAGCGTCCGACTTTCGCTTAGGTCATGATCTCGCGGTTCGTGGGTTCGAGCCCTGCGTCGGGCTCTGTGCTGACTGCCAGCTCGGAGCCTGGAGCCTGTTTCAGTCTGTGACTCCCTCTCTCTCTGGCCCTCCCCTGCTCACGCTGTCTCTCTCTCTCTCCTAGAAATAAATAAAATGTTAAAAAAAAAAATTAAAAAAAAAAAAAGAAATGGAAGAGAGTAGGTGAGAACAGCTTATTCTGATTTCACTCTTCTCCTCTCTACATTCTACCACGAGTTCTCCTGGTGCTCCCTGCATCTACTTTTAGTCTTCCAGAGTCCGTGGTTAATTGTCTGCTTATACAGATTCTAGAACATTCTAGAATCTAGAACATCTAGGGTTTTTACAAGTATCAAATGGTCAAAATCCACCAGAGCGTTTGATTCTACTCCATTCTGCTCACCCAAGAGCCTGGTTTACAGCCCTCTGGGTGTGTCCCACCCATGTGTGCAAGCTTTTTTCCAGAAACACCTTTCCCCTGTTGCTTAGGAGCACCATCAGATAGATACACGCTCATCAGGCAAACGCTGGGTCAAGAGCACTGATTACTGATCACATCATTAATTAATCAACAATTCCACTCTGCTAATTAGCATTTACTGGAAAACAATGCTACCCCGGGGAATTGCATTTCCAGTGTGATTTTCAGGTTCACATTCCTTGAGTCAATCAAGCAAGTTGACTAATATAATCATTGGTGCCACAGAAGAAGGGAAAATGTCACTGCAGATGCAAATAAACTACATTTCGGTTCAAAAAGCAACCTAATAGCTGGCATCTGGATCTTAATTTTTCTAGTTCTGTTTGATATAGGTCAGCGTTTCCCAAGCTTGCCATAGCATTAGAATTAGAAAGGCTTGTGACAGTTTCAGGCTCTTCTTGAAATCTAGAGATTTGAACTGAATGGGTTTGGGATTTGGGGTGAATTGTTGGAATTCACTGAATTTTTTAAATGTTTATTTATTTATTTTTGAGAGAGAGAGAAAAACAGAGCATGCATGGGAGAGGGATTGAGAGAGAGGGAGACCCAGAATCCAAAGCAAGCTCCAGGCTCTGAGCTGTCAGCACAGAGCCTGATGTGGGGCTGGAACTCATGAACCTCAAGATCCTGACCTGAGCCAAAGTTGGGTGCTTAACCAGCTGAGCCACCTGGGCACCCCAGGAATACACTGAATTTTTTTTTACTGTTTTATTTATTTCTGAGAGAGAGAGAGAGAGAGACAGCATGAGCAGGGGAGGGTCAGAGAGAGAGAGAGATACAGAATCTGAAACAGGCTCCAGGCTCTGAGCTGGCCATCAGCACAGAGCCCGACGCAGGGCTCGAACCCACGAACCAGGAGATCTTGACCCGAGCCGAAGTCGAACGCTCAACCGACTGGGCCACCCAGGCGCCCCTCACTGAATTTTTAACAAGTGCTCTTGGTCATTCTGATGATCAGGCAAGTTTGCAAACAGGAGTTAAATACAATATTGGATTTGTTTTAGTTCCTCAAGCACTAATGAAGCATCTAATTTTTAAGTGCCTGACATATACTCTGAACTCAAATGTCTTGTTGATTGACTGGCTGAGGACATCAGCCAGCAGATGGCTGGCCTAGAAGTTGACTCACAAGTATGGTGGGCAGTGGGCAGCTATAAGCTAATCTGCCAGGTAAAAGACACCCACATAACCCATCAGGAGCATGAGCTGCAATGAGAGCTAGGTATGCTGCCAACGGCCTTCCTCCATGAGCCCGGGGTTTCTTTTTTAAGTGGTAGAGGGGTGTATGACTGGCCCTACCCATCAAGCCAGCTTCCATCCGTTTGTGAAGGACAGATGTAAGCAAGCCCGGCCCAGCCTGGCATTTCCTGTATGCGGCTTTGAGCTAGAAAATGTGCCTCGGTCAGTACAAAGGAAACTCCTATCTCTAAAATGGGGTGGGGGTGGGTGGGCTCCTCAGACCCATGATGGTGGCATCAGAGGCACCGGCTTCTAATGCAAGGGACGGCTGGCTCTCGCTTATCTTACCATTTGGTTGTTTCCAGGCACGTCCCAGAGGCAGGGCATCCCCTCTTTACCGAAAGGTAAGAGAAAGCAACACATGAGACTGGGAGGGGGGTGGTTGGTAAGACGGGAACTGGGGGCCGGGAGTCCTGGCCCCTTCCTCTAGCCCTTTTCCTCGCCCCCTCTGAGAGTTTCCACTGGTGACAACGTTTACTGTAAACTCTGTGCTCTGAAGAGCCTGGGCAAACCCCGAGGCAGAAGGGAGGGGTAGGGTAGGCGGGCCGCAGGGACCAACCGCGCTCTGACCTTCTCCCCGCCTAGAGGCAGGCCCAGCTTTCGGGAAGTGACAGCAGGCTCTTCCTCCCCAGCAAGCCCTGCTGAGCGCTAGAGTTTTCTCTCCCTGCCCCCCTGCCTTGCAGATCCCAGAGCTCTAGGATGGGGCTTCACAGCAGCGGCTGCCTCTAACCATAAAACAAACCGTTGTGACAAGAAACTCATTGTTACCTTGGGAAGCAAGGCTGCTTCCTGCTAGGGCCCCAGAGAAGCCAGCGCTGCCAGCCCAGGGGCCACGCAGCCAGCCAGACACCGGCAAGAGGAAGAGTTTGACTTCCCTTGTAGAAGGAAGTGGCTGATCTGGGGCCTCCTCCCAACATGTCCCCACCTGCTATTGCTCAGTCCACTCTGACCCTCCCTGGGGCAGTCATGGCCTGGAAGGGACTCACACCTGGACGACTGGCAAAGGCTGTTAACTGGGAGGTACAATGCCCATGTCCCCTGACTTCCCTTAACTTCCAGTGGCAGCTAGAAATCTAGCACCTGGCGAGGGGGGAGGGGAGGGGCATATTTGGGAAGAAAATGTTGGCCTCTCACACACACGTCCTCTGCTGCAATCAGGGAGAGTGAGCTGGCATCGGGGCTCCCCTGTAACCCGCTTTCCGCTTTTTGGAATTCACTTAGAGCCTTCAGGCTCCTCACGCAACCCCGAGACGGACATGCTGAGGCCAGCTGTTTCCATTATTCCTACTTTTCAGATGAGGCCAACTGAGACCCTGGGACAGAGCTACCCCAAATACCCCCTCAGAACGATTACAGGCTGGTGGCGGCAGCCGCTAGGAGGAAGGGCTTTGGAATTTGCCTCGACATTTATTTCCTCAGAGGTTCAGACACTGGTGCGATGCGCCCAGAGCCCGACAACCACACAGGGGCAGAGCTGAGCTGTCCTTCCTCAGCCCCATTCTTCTTCCAGCACCTGATGCTTCCCCCAAGAAGACTGGTAACTTAAGTGACCAAAGGCCTTTGGCGATCACTAAGAAGTCTTCAACTGCCCTACAGTCTCCCAAGAGAACATGAGGTCTTGATTTTGGTGATCTTTGGACACCACATTGGAAGCCCGAGTCAGTCACACTTTCCAACCACAGAGCTGTTCATCGGCCTCCTGCCCAGTGTTGGGAGGGAATCATCTGTCCGGCCACTCTTTTACTTTTCATTTATTTATTTATTTATTTATTTTTTACAAATAGTTTATTGTCAAGTTGGTTTCCATATAACACCCAGTGCTCATCCCCACAAGTGCCCTCCCCCATGCCCATCTCCCCCCTCACCCCCACACCCATCAGTCCTCAGTTTGTTCTCAGTATTCAAGAGTCTCTCATGGTTTGCCTCTCTCCCTTTCCCCCACCATTTCCCGCCTTCTTCTCCCCCATGGTCCTCAGTTAAGTTCCTCCTAATCCTCCTATACGTGCAAACACAGGGTATTTGTCCTTCTCTGCCTGACTTACTTTGCTAAGCATAACCCCCTCAAGGTCCATCCATGTTGCTGCACATGGCCAGATTTCATTCTTTCTCATTAGTATTCCATTCCAGGCACTCTTTTAGAGGGCTCACTCAAGGCCAGATCTTCCTCCACAGAGTGAGGTCCAGAACACACAACAACAGTGGGCTCCATCAGCAGTGACTGGGACCGGGGTCCTGGCTGGGTGAGCCCCATGACTCGCTTTTCCCTCTCTGAGCCCCAGTTCCTGTTGGAAGGGGAAGACTGGGCCACAGCGTTGATTCTCAGCCTTGGCCACACATGGAGATCAGTGGGATCCCCAGGGGAGCTTTACCAATACTGGTGCCTGGTTCTGATTTAAGCAGTCTCTGGTGCCGCCTGGGCACTGGGTTGTTAAAGGTTCCCCAGGGGATTCTAATGTGCAGTGAACACGGACAACCATTAGAAGGAACCCTTAGCTTAGAAGATCTCCAAGCCCTCTTCCACTCTCGAATATTTCAGCCTCTGAACTGACTACCTGAGTGTATGAACCTCCAACCCCTACTTGTCGGGAAGGGGTGTGTGTGAGTGTCAGGGAGAAGTTGTTGGCGGCACAGGGATGTAGACAATTTATAGGAGAAAAATTAGTGGAAATCAAATTTTTAAAAGAATAATCTAGCTTGACTTAATAACTAACATTTATTTTATTTATTTATTGAATGGTACCACGTATC